ACACAAAATGTTCTTGATAACTACATAAGAACGAAAAATGTTGTAATTATACAATATATTTTAAATAATAGTCAATGATTATATTAAATATTGCTTTTGACATTATTACAAACACACCAATTCAAGACAGACCTGTAAAATGCTGCTTTTTCTATAGTCATTTGTATTTTGAGAAAATGAGCCAAAAATACAGGGTCCTTTTCTCAGACAGAACAAATTTCCCTGAAATAGTCAAATTGGTACAGCCTCTGGTATTCATGTGAAAGAACCTATTCGTTGACTAAAATACTTCCGCCAAGTTCTCAATCATATTTTGTTACTGGGGTATATTCTAATTTTTTTTTTCCTATTAGAAAAACAAATCTGTAGATTCAGGTTTCAGAAATACAGCTGGAGTCAAGAAAAAAAAATCAGGATTTCTGTCCTGCATTATAGCCAAAAGATAATGGATTCTTAGGCTCTTTGTCAAGAACTTCCTACTTTAGAATTGTCCAGAGCAAGCTTCTGGACAGAAATAAATTTGAACCCCCCCCAAAGATTCTTAAATTCACAAATGATCAGAAACATTCACACAGAACACCGTATCAGAGCTGCCATTTATCAAGAGCAGGTATGCAGTCATTCCTTGAGAATACTCCAATTCTTACAGCCCAACCTGCGGCTACTGTACAGCCTGCTGAATAGAAAAAGTGTCAGAGGCCGTGGCATATAATGAGGCTGGAGAATGGAAAGGAATAAGAGCAATCGCATGCTCAGGTTTTTGGATATAATCCCAGTAGAAATCGTCTTGTTCAAAATATAGTGAGATACGCATTCCAGTGCCACATCATTCACCATGATCCATCTAAAATGTAGAAGTGGCAGTGAGAATGTAGTCATTTATGTGTGGTCCCCCGACCCTGCTTTGCCTTCAATTTCACTACTATCTGTCAACCAACCAATTAATCTGCTAACTTATTAGTGGTGCTATTGCCTGTCTACCACCCCCACACCACCAAAAATGGAGTTCTGTGAGCTATTTTAAAATAACCTAGTGAATAGGAGCAACCATGGATTAAGAGTGAGAAAGGAAAAGAGGCGGAGGGTGGAGACAAGGAATAGAGGGAAAAAAGAGGCAACTTCTGGAAGCAAATACTAAAGAAAATCTATTAAATAAAAACTTTCAGGTTTAACTTTTTAATAAATTAAGGGATAGAATACATGACTCTTTAAAGTTTTAGGCAATAAATCTTGGAAATGGGTAGTTCGATTATTATAGTACCTCTCTGAGGGAAATGAAAGGATGTAATAACAGAATCAGGCCATCAAAACACTAAACTATCCTGAGTTACCAGAAATACCAGCAAAATATTTCACTATGACCTGTTACTGGACAAATTAGGAGGAAAATAACATTCAATGCTGGGGATCACATTGAAAGTAATTTCAGTTGGTTGGCATTAAAAGTTTTCTAGATGGTGACTAATAAAAGAAGCCCCTATATTCTATCTATAGCTTAATGTATATGAGTACTACAGCAAAGATGAAAACTCTGGAGGTAGTCTATTTGCAAATATTTCAGGGGAAAAACAAAATTGTAAGATTTTCCTATGATGAAAATATAGTCATAATTCTTTTAAATGCATTCATTTATTTTTTAAGATTGAGAAAAAAATGTATTTACATATATAGCATATTTTGAAGTATACACTATAGTTAAATCCGGCTAATTAACATATACTTTACCTCACAGTTATCATTTTTTGTGGCGACACGCTATTTAAACATATCTTTCCACTGTGAGCTTACCTTTAAGTTCTCTTCAAATTTTCGTAAGAATACATTGCATGTCATTTTTTAAAAGTGCTTTCACATACCTTATCTTGTGGTATTTCCATCATAGCACTTTGAGAATTATTTTTACCATTTCTCAGAAAACGAAGTTCAAGAACACATAGCTAAATCAGCCATGCACGTAACACCAGCAAATGGGATTCAAAATGGGATTTTTTTGACCCCACGAACGTGCCCTTTCTATAATACTGCAATACGGCTACAGGCTTGATAAATGATTTTGAAAAATAACTAATTATTTTTAGATTGGAATTGATTTTGGGGCCAGCCTAAAGTTGTCTGGCACTAAGACTTTGGAATGAAATAAATGATCAGTTAAGATAATGCCACAAGGATTTTAAAAAACTAGGTATTATCTATAGCTCAGAAGATAATTTCAAAGAGCATTTAAGAAGAGTTTTGAGCAATAAAAGTTATTATTCAAACCCGGGGACATTTTAAAGGTAACTGATCTAAAGTTAATAATAGCCAGCATAACAGTTTGCACAGAACATACACTCAGCAAATATTAGTAAAAAATTTTAAAGTACTTCCATATATAAGCACTGGTAAGGTTTTCTAACGACCAGTCTCATCAGAAAATTACACATATACATTAGAAATGTAAATTCAGGCAGATTCTCTTAAAATAGCTTTGTGAAAGTTATTAAAAGCCTTGCCATGTCTATACATTTTGGTCTATTTAGTCCAATTTAAGAATTTAGCCCAAAAAACTAATCTAAAATGTGAGTCAAGATATTTTTTGCTTTCTCAAAAATGTTTACTATAATATTATTTATGCATAAACATTAGTTTTAAAAAAAACCTGATAAAAAGATAGGGGCCTCATTAAACAAGTTGTATATATTTAATGAAATAATAGATATTGAGACTTTAAAGAATTTTATTCATATAATGAATAATTCTAGTGCAAACCTTCACAAAAAACGCAAGACCAAAACAAAGGTTATACCTGTACATACTAAAATGTAAAAAGTAGCCATCTCTGGATTGTGAAATTGATCACAGTTTTCTCCTTATCTTTAAAAAATGTCTTATATTGGATATCCTATTTTTATACACACATCTGAGTTATTTTATAATCAATCACTCAACAGTCAAAATTGATTATTTTTACCATGTGTCAGGCATAGTTCTTTTTTGTACATACTATGTAATTTACTTTTCATAAAACTCATTGATATAGAATAATTTATCTTGTCATTATGTGTGGAAACGGCACAGATGTTAAATAACTAGCCCAATATTACCTTCCAAATAAATATTTGAGCTGGGTTTTGAACCAAATGGACAGACTGCAGAACTCATGTTCTTCATGGCATTGCTATACTGTTCATATTACACAGGCTGCTTAGCAATATGTCAAAATATATTAATGTCATGGAGAAAGTGATCTCATGCAACTGTGACCATGTGTATAAAATGCTGTAACCCTTTTGGTGAGATGGCCTGATAGTGTATTAAGTATACTTAACTTACCTCACATAAAACTAGCTTTCATGAATGTGTTACTTCTCCTTCTTGAGAATACAAAAGCTGTTTTACATAGAGGGATATTATATCTCTTTTGTAATCATCTATTTACAACCACTTATAGTATACCAGACACTAGATTAAAAGCTGGAAATAACTAGAAAGTAACAGAATTTGTTGCCATAAATTTAACACAACCTTGGAAGGGGCATGCAGTTTTAATTGAAACGGATTCTTGACCATGGGAATGGAGGGACTACTTTAAGAGCAGAGAGATTCACATTGTTTCCTTGCTAGAATGTGCTTCATAGACACTACTGATTGCATAGATCAAAGACAGCACAAGTAATGTTATTGATTTCAGAAATTCATGGTAAATTCACTGGCTAATATTATGTCCACAAAACCACAGCTGCTAAAATTGCAAAGGCATGAGTCAATCATGATAAAAAATTTAGAGTATTATCATGATAAGCTCAGCTAGGAAGACATCAACATAATTTTCCTATGGATGAAAACTATTGGTGCATAGTTTTGGTATTATCAATTCCATCAAAATGTCCTCTGAAATGTTAAAGTCTAATCTAGGTATTTTTTCTGGTTATCATTGCTGATTTTTAAAATGATCTATTTAAGAATCTTTGCAAGAAAAACCCTTTTTTCTTAATAAAGAAAAAGTCAGGAGGAATTTAGAAGTTAACATTGGTCTGCTTTATATTCTAAACTTGTTTTTTTTCTCTCCAGATTGTATTAGAGTCTTATTTTAAATGCAAGTGACAACATTCATGTCCTGTAGCTTGAGACCTTTACCACATATAATTGCACAGCATGATACAAATTAATGTCTTCTAAGTAGGAGCTCAAAGGCATACAAAGATATATTACATGCCAAGAAGTTTCATTTAATTTCCTTTGTTCATAAGACAAATATTTATATTTACTAATCCATGGATAAATAGAAGCATAACACATGTACATAGAAAAAGACGCAGTATGGTTCTCTTGCAACTATGGGTTGACCCATTACAAGCACATGACAATGTGTCTTAATAGGTGTGCATATAATAAAACAGATTAATTTGCCACCTAACAGTTGCTAAGAAATTCATTTGTTGAGCATATTTTATACGAATAAAAAATATGTAAGAATTATGTGAGAGAAGTAACCCAACATTTAATGGCACCATAATATGAACAACTTAGAAACAGAAAGTCAATACCTTGATTTCTCTAATATAAAAGTATTGCTCATGCTCAAGCATTTTATAAAATAATCAAAGTCATTACAGAACAACTAATGAGTGAAACTGTATTGTTTTCTATCTCTTATTTTCAGTGTTGATTTTGCTGGAAAATAATATCTTAAGACCAAAACTCTGGGAGCTGTTGAGATTTTGGCCACTAAGTCAGCTAGACCATGGGGAAGCAAACATCTGTAGACCACCTGCAGCCACGTATGAGGCCCCTCATGAGACTTAGCAACAGGTGTGTTTCAATGTGATGGTGAGTGTGACCTGTCCCTGGCACACTGGGACCAGCACACAGTGTTATTTGTACATCTGCTGAGTAACACTGAATGTGTGGATAATTAAAGCTCTCAGAAATTATTTTACTTAAGAATATTTTCAAGCTTAATGATTCCAATTCTGTACTTGCATGACTGATTTTTCCTTGTGCTAAATTCTGTATTGTTCTTGCCTTGATTGATCTATCATTATCTGTCACTTGATCAACTAAAATATTACATTCTTTAATTAGGTTTTACGTTTAAATGAGGACTTGTTTTAGTCTCTTGGAGGTTTATTCATTGCTCAGGTACTTTTTCAATAGCTCTTCTCCTGTTTAAAAATCAATAAAAATGATTAATTTGCCATATATTTATGCTAGGTCAATATATTTATTATGGAAACATATAGCTAACTTGATTTGAATTAAATTGGCCTTTGCTAAAGATCAATATTGTTCTTTTTATTCCTACCAAATCATCTTGAAAAACAAATGCTATTGGTTAAATAAGGAAGACAAAGATGCATATTTATAAGACAATAGGTATCAACTGGAGAAAACTCTCTGCAGTTGGCAATATTGGGAAAGAAGGACACAGACAGGTTTACATCATCTGGATACCAAAGAGCATGAACTATACGGCTCAGGAATTTGTTGTAAAAGGGAATGAAAGCGCACTGAAGGACAGGACTCTGAAGAGTGTTCATAGAATGCTGAAGAAGGGTGATGAGGATAGTCTATCAGGCACGGTAAGTTAGAAGTGCACCAATCACTTCTCCAGGCTTGAACAACCAAGTCTAAGAGTCAGATAAGGTAAGACCAGGTCTCAGGGCTGGAGAGGTGGTGATGTTGCTGAAAAAAAATTTGATGTTGCCGAAAAAAAATTTTTTTTTTTAAGGGCTGGGACTTCAGAGTCTCTCTCATTAAAAAAGAAAAAATAATGACATAATTGGTAACTTTTCTGACTGCTGCAGAGGCAACAATTTACTAAGAATCCTACACACCTACTTCACCTGTAACTACAATTTCTCTGAAGGCATAGAAGAAAAATCAATTGTTTTAATCCATATGGAAAAAATAAAGAAAGAAAGAAAACTGCCAATGTGGTTTGACTAGCAAACCACTGGAGTTGTGGCGTAAGCATAATGGATTACCTCTTCCATTACCACTAATCTAATTACTTTCCTCTATCTGTCTTCATTCCAGCAGGCATGTTTACCAGCCAAGCCATATTACAAAAAAGGATTGGATGTGGGTAGGTAAAGCAAACAAATGGAAACATCAAATGCAAAGGCTATCATTTCTGAGGACTACTGCTCTCTTATTCCAAGTGACTCCAAAGAAAAGCAGTCTCCGCCAGGTGCAGCCTGTAAACCCAGCACTTTGGGAGGCCAAGGCAGGTAGATCACCTGAGTTCAGGGGTTCCAGACCAGGCTGGCCAGCATGGCAAAACCCCATTTCCACTAAAAATACAAAAAAAATTTAGCTGGGCATGGTGGCAGGTGCCTGTAATCTCAACTACTTGGGAGGCTGAAGCTTGAACCAGTGAGGCAGAGGTTGCAGTGAGCTGAGATCGTGCCATTGCACTCCAGCCTGGGTGATGGGGCAAGAATCTCCCCCCACCCCTCCCCACACACACAAAAAGAAAGCAATCTCTACTTTTCTGAAAGAGCAAGCACAGAGATGTTCAAATTAGGGTGACTACACCACACTTATTAATTATGTACCTGCATAATTACTAATAGTGCACTCTTTTACTCACAAAAGTGCTCTGATTTGTGCAAGAATTTATATTGCCATCCTAAATACCCTGTGACAGGAATGTCAATTTACATAAAACACTGAAACAAATTTGACAAAATAATGGATCAATCCGTTTCACATATGTAATTCCACAAGATCATAACTTATCAAGACTCACTAAGAAACAAGGATTTAAGCTTCTCTTATTTTTGTTTATATTTGTTGTCTTTCGAAATATTTCTTTTTGGCAAATAACTATATTTTTTTAAAAAAACTAAGGCATAGGGTAATTTAGAAAACAAAAATAAATATCATTTCCTTATACTTTACTGTAAATCTTATTCGGTGTTACACCATTTTTTTAAAAAATATTTTTGCTTTTCCTCAGGACAGCAAACATTTTTGAGATGAAAGACAATCCATACATCATTTACTTTAATGCCTTAGTTTTACTATTAAGAACACTGAAATTCAGAGAAATGAAATGACTCGCCCAAAGCTGCTGGTCTAGTTGGTGGTCAACTAACCAGACTAGTAGTCTAATGAGACAAGCTGCTTCTGGAACCCCTAAATACTTGTTTCCCTCTGCATTCCATTCTGTCTCCTGGATTATATTCTTTATGTATTGTATTGGGTTGGTGCAAAAGGAATTGTTGGTTTTAATTTAAAAGTAATGACAAAACCAGCAACTGCTTTTACACCAATCTAATAGAAGCCTCTTGCCAGAGAGAACTTTATCAAAATCTAGCTTTGCCCTAAGCATCACATTTTCCCTCTGGAAAACGGCAGATCATAAAGTGAAGGGCCAAAAATAAAAATTTCTTAGGCTATTGATATTTCATTGCTTTTTGAAGGTTATACAAAGAGAGTTCTCCCATCGTCAGTTTTGCCATTGTCTTCAGTAGGACCAATTGGTATTTTTATTAATTTTTTATATAACTTTTATTTTCGGTTCGGGGTACATGTGCAGCTTTGTTATACAGGTAAGCTGCGTGTCACGGGGGTTTGGTGGACAGATAATTTCATCATCCAGGTAATAAGCATAGTACCCAATAGATTTTTTTTCTGATCCTCTTCCCTAATATCAAAGAAGAGCAATAACTTTGTGAAGTTTAACCTATGAGACATTATTGGGAATTGCAAACTGACATAAGAAAAACATAATCAACACGTTTCTTAATATTCAATTTAACATAGTATTTTATTGGCTCTCAAAGCAAGTGTTAGGATTAGTTTTGCTGAAAATTTTGAAGTTTTTGTTTCTTTTGTTTTGTTTTTGTTTTTCTGAGACAAGGTCTCACTCTGTCACCCACACTGGAATGCAGTGGTGTGATCACAGCTCACTGCAACCTCGATCTCCCTGGCTCAAGTGATCTTCCCACCTCAGCCTCCTTAGAAGCTGGGACCACAGGCATAAGCCACAGAGATAGAATGAGGACTTAACCCAGGAGAGTATGGCCCCAAACTCTGTGCTCTAAGTCATTAGGTTACCAGCAAAACTGGCTTTTGGATGGCATTGTGTCCACAATGAACGTCTACCATTCACTTTTATTCCATGTTCATGTTTGGGAAGCAAAACGTTTAAAATAAACATAGCTGGAGTGGGGCACACCAATAGTATGGATGGAAATATACATACACATACAAAAGGCAAACACACAGTCGTAAAACAGTAAACTGGAAAACTTTAGGGCCAAAGACTCAGGCCTACTTCAAAATGTCTCAAGTGCTTCATATATAAGAATTGACCATAGAATAATCAAGTAATCAAAACCAGATCAATTTAAGAGAATATAGTTTACAATCGCTACAGAAGGAATGAAATATTGGGAAAGATGTTCCTTCCCTAAAATAATCCAAACCTATAGAGGACACTTAAGTTAACCAAACAACTAACAACCGCAGGATAGTTTAGCTCTAGATATTGCCAGATAAGTATCTGGACTTAATATTCTTTACATTATTTTATATTTGTTTTATTTTGCCCTCCACATTTATATATTCATATTTATTAATGTTCATTATTTCATTATATTAATATTATTCCATTCTACTAGACCATGTGTAGGTCAGATAAATTACTTTCTATAATATATCAGCTTATAGCATCCCTGAAACCACCCCTATAGAGCTCTCTTTTGCATAATAACAACAGCTCAGAAATAGTCTCACCTCTGACCTTTCATCTTTTCTTGGTAATCTGTTTGGCCTCCTTCAATACCATGTTAGGGTATTCTGAGGTGTTAGGCCACATAAGCCTGAGACCCCGAAGACACTGAGCCCCAGCTCATCAGGTTCCTGGCTAAGTAGTTCCAATGTCCTTAGTAGCCTCATTTGTTTATGGCTCAATAAACATACCATTTAGAGAAAGGACTCAGATGTCAGTAACATATGCTTCCTAGTAATGCATAGGATTAAGAAGAAAAGTTGAAGACAAAACTCTTTCCCTACTTCACATTCTCCTGAGTTCATTACTGCTATGAAAAATTAATCAGATTTGAGTTGTTCCTAATCTCTGCTCCTCTGGTCTCCATCAGAGAGGGCAGCCAAACTGTGACAGGTGCTATCTGGGATAGGGACAGGAAAGGAGAGAGAGCCCTGTGATTCTCTTCTGGGGAAAAGCAGGCTTAGGAAGTAAGTTAGTGTTGCTAGAGCAGACAGCAATGCTGACAGCTCATCATCATTCATTCTCAGCTTAAACACCAGTGGCAAGGGCCCCATCAGGTGGCATTGAGAGAAGGAGATCAAAGAAGGCACAGAGAGGCTTTGGGGGTGACTAAACATATACACTGTCATATATGAACATTTGTACATCCATCTCTTCTAGTAAAGCTAGAGGAGATGGCAGAGGCTATGTCTTAGGTACCACTGTAGTCCCAGAACCTTGCAAGGGGCTTGGCATGGGATTGATGCTCATAGAACATTTACTGGAAGCAGGAATCAATGAATAGGACCCCAGCCCTTCTGGATCCTACGGGCTACTTCTGGCTCCTCAAACACACTCAGCCACGTACACTTGATTTCAAGGACAAAGTTGCTGTCTATTTTTAATAAAGAAGCAGCTTGAGTGAATCCCATTTCTATTTCCTTACTCTGATACTGTCTTCTGTTTGCGTGAGCAAGAGTATGGACTAATTCCAGGCTTCAGTTCATTTTAGTCATAGCTGAAGTCTAATCAGGGCTGTATATTCTGTCTCTGTCTCTGTCCCTCCATCTGCCTCCTTTCTTCTCCCCGCTCCTTCTTTCTCTGCCTGCCCCTCCTTTTTACTCACCCTTCCTCCACTTTTTTCTCTGCCTCCTCCATTTTTGCCCCTCTCCTCTCTCTCTCTCTCTCCCCCTCCCCTCCCCCCCCCGGTGATATATGAATTCCAGGCACACAGATATATACACTGAACTGAATAGCTCATTTTTCAAAACCGTGTCAAGTTAAGATTGTAATGGCTAGTGTGCAAGAAGGAAACTTGTCCTTGTAACTTTAGGATTTTTCTTTTTAATTGTGCCCTAAGAATTAAACCCTATACAAATAGGACTTAATTTTACTTTCCCACTTTTTCCTTGATAAATAATAAATTGTGTCGGGGGGGGTAAGCAAATGTTCTTTGTTGAAAGCCAACAGTTTCAGGCGTCTTTTAAAGATTATATTTATAAACACATTGCTATCAGGCTTACTCCAAATAGACCAATAATTTGCCTACATAAGGTAAAAATTAAAATAAAACCACCTTCTTCGAAAACAAATTTGTTGTAGAAACACCTGAACGTTGGTTTTGTGTAAAGTACATTAAAGATGTAATTGGACATTCATGTGATTGTAGGTAGAATTTTTTGCTTGTTCTTTTCCTCCAGAGAGAATGTAATTCAGAAATAAGAAGGACTTGGAATTGGGAATTTTAAAAATATATCTAAAAATTCTATGTGCTGCGGAGGTTTGAATTCTAAGTTGTTTGAATAAGATGAACTATCATGCAGGTCACTTATTCTAGGAAAGTCTCCTAATTAATTCTTACTGTTAAGAATTATTAACACCTTCAGGGTCACAGAATATAATGTTTTAACCTCTTTTTAGTGCAGACACAAGGTAACGGCATCCCCTGATACAAATTCTCTGTTATCACTAATTTAATTTAGATTGTCTGGTAACATATTTTTTAAAAAGACCAAGAAACTACTATTTTAAGTATGAAGAAAAGCCGCATTCATTATTCAGCCATATAAGGAAGTTAAATGCTACAGTGCTGATGCAGGCAATGTCAGAAAAGTAGGAATAAAGAAGTTTCTTTTTAAAAACTAGGAACGAGGGGAAATAAACATTGTGTGAGAGAAAGCAAACCAAAACCAACAATAACTAGGTAGGTCAGCTACACGGAGGGACCACAGCATTTAGCATTCCCTTGCCTCTCAAACTCAGCTATTCATGGTCTTCTAGGTTAATGGAGAGCAGGGCACTGAGAGCCATGTGGTTAATACATGTTCCAGAATCCCAGAAAAGATAAATGACTGCTCTAGTTTCTCATCTTCTGAGCAGCGTGAGCATGTGTTGAGGTTAGTGTCACTGTACCACAACCTGCAACATCCTCCTCCTTGTGTATGGAAGCCATTCAAAGAAGAAACAGCTCTTAATAAGACACTACAGGCATTACAGTCAAGCAGTCCTACTGAATTCTAGATCCACCCTTTATTAGCTATGTAACCCAGAGAAAGTTAAATCTCTAAGCTTCAATTTCTTCATCTGTAAAATGGGTATAACAGTAGCTACTTGATATGGTTGTAAATATTAAGTCATATGAACACTTTAAGAAGAATAGCATGCATCTTGTTTTTTAATAAATCTTAGTGTCATCATCATCACTACCTCCACCATCTCCAACACCCTCACCTACCACCATCAGCATCACCATCACTACCACCTCCAACATATCCAAAATCACCACCATCATTACCACTATATCCATAACCACCATCACCAACAGCACCATTGCCACCATCATCCTCATTTTGCAGGTGAGAAAGCTGACTCGGAACCTAAGTAGCTTGCTGAAAGACACAAAGCTAGTAGGGGACAGAGACAGAGCTCAAATTTCCCAGTTGAGGGATCCTCCTAAGACCATCTTTATCTCAGGAAATCTATCACGGAAAAATGGTGTGGTTGCAAGTGTCACCACAAAGCTTCAGAATACCTAGGACCCCAGATATCTCACATGTACGCATAGAAAAGCAAAAATAAGATCAAAAAACTGTATCTGGAAAATACCTCAGGCTATTTTATTAATATGTGAATTGCTGAGTATACTGCAAATCCCTGGTTGCCCTGTTATCATGACCACCAGCCTGAAAGGTGAGGGACCCAGGTTCTGATTTGTTCCCTCTTGCCTTCATCTCTTCAACTGTCACCAAAGAACACAATGCCTATTCCCATATTTGACCCTGTGGAGAAACTGTAGGAAGGAAAGAAATTGTCATCTACAGCACCAATTCCTCAGGAGAAAGGCAGGAAATGAAACACAACTGTTTATTTAGCCTGGCTCTATAGTGAAACAGCTGTATAGGCCTGTGGAAAAAAAGGGCACTGGCTTGGCTCAACCTTTGGCAAATAGATGGATATTATGTAGGCAGCATGTCAATCCAGAAGAGGAAGCAGTGGAGGAGATTTCCTATAATTCTTCCCATATTGTTCATTGCTGCTTTCCCTCCCAGGACCTTCTGGACTTCCCATTAGAAATCGAGGGCAGGAACTGCAAGGCACTGTGGGAAGACAGCAGCTTGGGTCCTACCGGCCCACTCAGCACCTTCCACTGGGACCCTCAGCAGGCTCACCCAAGGCAGTTATGAAGATGCCACTTACCCACAGTACATTCAGCTGTCTTCTCATCCTTTTCCACCACCTGGCCCAGAGCCATTTTACTCTACTGTTGCAAGGCTAAACTTCTCAGTTTCATGGCATTCACATTGTAATAAGGGACTAATCAACGTTCCACCCCAAAGAATCAATCTCCAATGGGCAGATTTCAGCCATGAAGGGAAGATGATGAAGATAGTTTACAGGGAAACCTCTACAGTTTCCATATTACAATGTTGCCTATAGGCAATTTTCCACATCTCAGCTTTGTTATCTTGACAGGGAAGCAAAATAACAACACATAACACCCTCAAGGTTGCTCTCCTCAAAAGAATTAAGTATGCTTAAATCTCCTTCCCTGGGTTAATGGTATCCTAGGTAAAGTAAAGCAAAGAAAACCTCTTCTTATTTCACAGCTTACTGTAAAATCCACTCAGATTTTACAGGACGGTGGCAGAGTATTATCTCTGAGAAATGATGTGACAGTGAATGATTGTCAATGGCTAAAGACTGCTCAAAAGTTGCTCAATGGCTATAGGATTAAAGTAAAGCAGACCCATTCCTTGAGACCCAAGGACTCATTCACAAAGAGCAAAGTAAAGTACAACATTTTACTACAAATCTATTACATTCTCTTTAGGATCTTCAAGAGGCAAAGTGCATGGAGGAACAAGCACATAAGCTTTTAAGTCAAATAGAAAAGGGTTCAAATCCTAGATCCATAATTTATTAGCACTTTGAAGAAGTTACTTAATCTCTGAGTTTCAGTTTTTTTCATCTGCAATGTCACTTACTTCATTGGGTCATTATAATTACATGTATAAAAAGCATTTGAGAAAGTACTTGGAAAATAGTACATTGTCTAATACCATTAGTCTTCTAAATTTTGTTTCTACACATTCCACCAACAAAAAGAGTTCTGCAAACAATAATCCTTTAAAAGAAGTACTCAGATTGATTTACATACCCTCATGATTTAGAATCCCTTTACACAAAATGTACTTTCACTGAGTCTTTCATTAATTTTGATAATGGTCCTGTCTATTGAAACTGCCCTTACTCTTAGATTTACCAAGGTGTAACTCCATCTTACCATGTACATCCAATTTTTCTTTTAAATTATGCTTTTGTCCTCCAAAAGCAATGAAAATATTTTGTCTAAAATTAAGGCTTCCTATAGGTTACACAATGCCTTTATAATGGTATTTCTACTTATCAGAATATGCACCATCTCATGATCTCCCTTTTTAGAGTATAAGGAGTATATTTGTCCTATTTCTTCATAATTGTTAGCCCAATGCTGGCCACAAGTCCATAGCTTATTAAGTATGTGCTGATTAACTGATGCATAAATTCTCCTTTACCCCTAACCCAGTAAAGCAATCAGCCTTCCTAGTAATGGCCTTGAAAGATGACTAACAAAAAAGCCCATAGTTTAAACACTTCAATGTGGCTGAACTATGAAATCTCAATTGCTAAGACAAAATTCCTTTACGTAATGATATTACAACCCCAAGCTTTAATTAGTACTTGAAAAATAAGATTATAATAGCAACTATGGCAATCTGGTTGACATGGTAAACAACCTTTCTGCACATAATCAGTTTAGGCTCCTAATAGTACTAAATTCAGACTCATAAATGTTTTTGGCTCTTATCCTATCTTATTTTTATAACAGCTATGGATTCAGAAAGCATGCATTTATAAAAACATCTTGCAGTTATAATTTAGGTTTGCAGATGATACTATATGTGATTTGGCTCTAAAAAGAGATAAATATTCTGGTCTGAAAAGATAATCCACTAAAGCAGAAATCCATTCAAATGCTAAAGTTATTTCATACAAACTTCTTACATTAGCCCATTACCTAGGAAAATTCTGTGTCAATATAAATATCATACATCCATCACTTTAATGCTCTAAAGATATCAGATAAAATTCTACTGCTATTAAGTAAAGCTTGTATATGTTGGATTTAAAGTAGTATGTGCTGACAGCCATTCTTGTCTTGTGGTTTTTTTCTAATATTTTTCATAATTTCTGATTTCCCCACACAATTTTCTTCTATTTTTATTAATTCAAGTTTTCTTAACATCTTTGTTTCACGTTGTTTGCATGTGGCTGTCTTACTGTATTTTGTTCTACTCTCAGAATCGAATTGCCATCTAAAATAGCTAAGTCTTTATCCTGTGGAATTTTATAGAACAGGAAAAGGACACAGGTCCCATAAATAGCAAAAACAAGATATTTATTTTCCCTGGAATGTAATAATAATATTGTAGAATCGATATAATGCTAAAATTTTCTTTTCTAGACCTGTTTCCAAAAAGTGGAAAATGTGATATAAATATTGAGCATCAGACAGCTATAGTTTTTGAGATGTCTTACACATCTTATTTCCTAAAGTTAACAAAGTCACAACTCTACTTAAAAATGTAGCAGTTGTTAAAACAAAATTAACTTTGGGTAGACCCATGGTTTAATATATTATACTATGACTAAGAACCTCTGGTAAATTGATATGCTAAGGAGTATATTAGGTAAATATTCTAACTTATATACTGTTTTTTCAACTCTGTATTTAAAATATACAATGGTAAATGCTCATCATCTTTTGAATTGTCTTCCAAAAATATTATTATTGCTGGGCTATAACTAAGTAATTAAATTTGATTTGTAGCTACATTAGTTCATTAGCCTTAACATTTTCCAAAACAGTTAAGCTGATGTTAGATCTTGGAATACCAAATGATATTTTGTAATAATTATTACCATTAAACTAGAATCATTAAAGAACAATCAGTAACAGCACTTCAAATTTGTGGGTATTACCTACAAAACCACAAATCAAATTAGCACATTCTTCATTTATTTTTTATTGGCTGTTAGCAGTAGACAGAATTCCCTGTTGTAAGTCAAGATTAGTTGGCATTGGTTTAGAATGTGTCATTGATTGAGTTTATAAAAAAGCATGTGCTAGCTGCTATCTATCTAATGGGATTTTGCTTCATAATTTTAAAATGTTTTGCTGAAAATATATTTTATTAGAAATTACAAGCATTTATCACTTAGCAGTATTTTTTTCTCAAATACATTTTGATCTTAGAAATGGTCAAGTTGAAATAATTCAATTCATTTATGTAAGAATATTAATAAATATGTATATATATTTTTATATTATAAATTTAAATGACTACTTCTACACTAAAAATAAGATCAAAGACTAGGAATCTATCTTGTTTTTGGAACTGAACAATCAATAAAGCTATACTGTCTTTTATTCTCCATCCTTAATCAGATTGGACCTTATTTCTACCTTGTTTAGGCTTGTGCACAACATTAAACTAACAAATTTTTATTTCAAAGTATTTAATAAAGCTTAGTGGTGCCAGCAGCCTTATTTAAATACTGTAGGTTTTAAAGGAGGACAGACATCTTTCAAGATTAACTATGCAATTTGATGAGATATAAATTCATTCTTAAAGACAACTTGGGTTTAGTCTACATAATCCGATTCCATCGCACAATGACAAACTCTTTCACTTGGATCTGACTTATGGAAAACAGACAACTGCCAAAGGAAAAACGATCCTTAAAAATTAATGTTTTCTGAACTGCTAACAAGGTAGCACAACTCCATTTGACCCAGCAATCCCATTAATGGGTTTATATCCAAAGGAATATAAATCATTCTATTATAAAGACACATGCGCTCAAATGTTCACTGCAGCACTATTCACAATAGCCAATATATGGGATCAACATTATCTTTGATAATATGTTTTTTTAGAAACCTTGTGTTTGAATCCTGGTGCTTAATTTAAGGTTAAATCCCAGTCACAAAAACAAATTTATGCAATCAATAGACCTATTTAGCATCTACAAAGCTTGTCAGTAATAAAACTCCATGAAGTCAAGATGAAATCTCTTAAAAATTAAAATTCTAAAAAGAAAAACATAGGGCTGTAATTTCATTCCACTTACAAATTAAATACTTTGCCAATTCTAAAATTTCACATATCTATTGAGCAAATGAAGTATAGTAAGAATTTTATAGAGCAAAAAGCTTGTGATTGATTTAGAATACTCCTAAGAACATATATACAGAGATGGCATGGATTATTAACCAGTTTTCACCAACTCCACAAATGTTTACCAATTTTCACAAGAAATCTACATTTCTAAAGATGGAATTTGGCAATACTCCTTCCTTAGCAAGAATAAAATCAATTTAATTGCATAGAATGAATGTTTTAAATGGAGCTTGGCAGAGTAAGTTATTCTATCAAATCAATGTCAATCCTTTTTAAAAATTCTTTTCCTTATTCTTCTGCATTGTACCACCCAAAAGAACATTGTTTATTTATGGTTTGGTAAAAGTCCTGAACAGCAGAATAGATAGGGAAAGACTGCTTTTCAAATAAACCAGTATAGAGTCCTTATTCTTAAGAAAAAGAAAGATAATATTTTCAAGAGAAAATATCCTTAGTCAAACAAACAAAACACAGACTGAAGATGTTTTAAGGGCTACCCTTATGAGTTCATTTAACAACATGAAATATACCTTTAACAACATGCAATACACTTTTACATGAATTTATAAGTGCTGTCTACTACAGAATCGTTCAATAATTGAAATGATTAGAAAACATAATCATTAGGGAAAATACAATCAATAGGGAAAGAATTCCTAGCAAAAGAATAAAGTTCAAGTGTGTTAACCTGGGCACACAGGAACTTTCCAATCCAAGACCATTGGAAACATTCTTTCTTAGATATGAAGGATATTAATTTTCTACTAGATAACTATCTTTCAGTAAAATAAGTGTCCCAACAAAACACATCTCAATAAGTGGAACATTAACATAATAAACATAAAATAGATATTAATCAAAACACTATGCCCCCTACACAAATCAGAAGATAGATATTATAATCTCTGCTTTGATTTCATTGCGATATTGTACTTGACACTATTTATCACTATACGGTAACAACAAAGGTCGTAAAGGCACTGAAAGTCTCATTCAGGAAAATCTGTTCTCTTTGCCCATCCCCTCCCTTGTTTGTTTTCCCTCACGTTCAGTAGGAGAAATTTCCTATTTAAAGAGCATGTATTCATCATTTGACATATCACATGCCATTAACATAAGAATTAACAATTTTAGAACTATATTTATATATTTATTTTGCTTTCCTGAAATTTCTAAATGCCCAATGCTTCAACCAATATAATCATTCATTTAAATATCCTTTGTTATACTGCAGATATTACAGGTTCCTTCCCTCCCTTCCCTCCCTCCTTCCTTCCTTCCAGAAATTGTTCATAGAATCAAATCTTCTGCTTTGCTTTTGGTGAGCTGAGTGCAACATCCCTTCCTAGGCAAAGAGGGAACAGCCCTCTAAATATCAACTCTCAGTGGAAGAATCATTGCACAACTGGGGTACTTCATATTACTACATGAGCACAGTGCCACCATAAAGTGCCAAGACGAAGAACAAATTGTTTCTTTTTTTCTCTGACCCACACCTCGTCAACTAGATACATGGGCAGAATCTTATTTCTCTCCCCATCACTGTATCAGTGGGGCAGAGGGTTTGTTTAATAAGCACATAAAGTAAAACCAGACTGGAACTACAAAAGGGCTGGATGGCCTTTCCCATGTTGGCATAACACTGAAGAAGGAGGGTTGGTCATGAAGTCACAATTTACCAATGGCATTTAAGCAGAAACATTAACTTATATTGTCACAAAACACAATGTCACATAAAAGCCACAAAAATATTTTCAGTCAGCTCTGGTAGCCAGGAAATTCTTTTCAGAGGTGTTTCCTTTTTGGGTTTTCCCAATTTGGACTCAGAAATGAAGTTACAGACCTATTGTGATATTTTAAATATTCCTTTTCCAAATATATAACATGTGATTCAAAATAGAATGCAAGTTTTTCAGCCTGTCTTAAGTAAGCTGACAAATGGTGTCCCATCGCTCATTTTATCAGGGTCACAACATACTTAAAATGCATATATGTATAAAAGTAAAAATAAAATGTTGATGTAAATAGAATTAAGATCTCTGTGTGTAAAGCATATTGATAACCAGCACCCAAGCAAGGACTGATATTTTGAAAATGGTCTTGTATAAAAGTTATTCCATTCCTTGTATGCTATTTAGTTTAAAAAATGATGCACAGACCCACATTCATAAACACACTGAAACACACACACATACACACACATAATATAAGAACTTACACAATTTCATCATTCTGGAATTCGAGCTCTCCACAGGTGTCTTCAAAATCCTCGCCTCCACCTCTGGCAGTTCCTTCAATGGTTTTATACGGAACAATAACATTTCCTCGAGCTCCAGATGTTCTCAATACTTTCACCTCCATGATGCCAATGCTCTCACTCACGTGAGTCACAGGTTCCTCAAAAGTAAAAATGCCTGCGTGGTCATCATCAAAAATAGTTACAGTGGCAGTGGAGGGAGAACCGAGGCAAGCAAGTGTAGAAACATGATTGGCTTCCAGTATGCCATCTTCTGAAGCTTCGGAAGATACTTTGACATTGCTGAGATGCACAAGGAAATTTTCATCCTCCTCAAAGATATCATCATCAATGATACCCACTCTAATTTCCTTCTGCATCTCACCAGGCTTAAACACCACAGTTCCTTCAGTAAATTCATAATCAGACCCAGCATTTGCTGTGCCATCCTCCGTTCTGAAGTCCACAAACACAGTGTTGGTCAAATCACCACCTCTGCGGATAATAGTAAGGGCCACAGTACCACAGTTCTCCAGGCACTGATATGTCCCTTGTTCAAAGAAGATCTTACTAACAGGGTCGTTTTCAGCCACTTCAGTGTTGACCTCATGCATGCTGACAGCCTTCCTTGCTTGGTCAGCTGCATGCCGTTTTAAAATGTTGCCAGCTCCTGTCATCAGGCGGGTAGCTTGAATGCGGTAAAAGGCTCTACTTTTTTGCTGCTGACTTAGGACTTGGTAGTTAGCTAATTCTATTAATTGCTCTATTTCTTTCTCTGGATGTTTCTGCTTAAGTTCCTTCAGAATCCTAGCCATTTCTCGCCTAGCTTCTTCATCATCTTGGTCCCTCTCATCCACCTCCAGAACCAGAGCACCATCTAAGAAACTGTCAACATGAGAATTGACCACTTTCCCATCCATTTCAATTTCAGTCTTGGAAGATGGCCTGTCTCCTTCGTGTTCAATAATCATGCCCCTTTGCTTGCCAGCTCGATACCTCTTGTAGACATACTTATAAAAGAGAAGTCTCCTATCTGCTACCCAAGCGAACACAACACAGATGGGAAAGAAGAAGAAAGTAAGCAAACCTTCCCAGACCTCCACAACGCCAGGAGAGATGACAGACAAAATAATGTAAAGCCAGGTGTAGGCAAAGATGCTCCAGGCTGCCGTCACGAAGAACACACGCAAATGCTTAATCTTCCTTGTCTCTCCGTCAGGGACCACGTAAACACAGAGTGCAATAATGATGAACATATTGAACGCAGCACTTCCCACGATGGTGCTAGGACCGAGGTCTCCTGCAGTGAAGTTATGGCCGCACACTTCAATTACTGAAAGGAGAATCTCAGGAGCAGAAGATCCCAGGGCCATCAAGGTCAGGTTGGAAACAGTCTCGTTCCAGATCCTCACAGTTGTCTTGGTGGTCTCTCCATTGGGTTTCTTTATGGTTATTTCTTTTTCTTGAGATGTGATGACTTCTATAGAGGACATGAACCGATCAGCTATGATAGAGACTCCAAGAAACATGTAGACCATGGCCACAAAATACACAGTAGCTCTAGCAATTTTGTCCCCAAAAGAAGGGTCTTGGGGCTCCCAGATGGGCAAAATCACCCCTTTCTTACAGTAATATGAGCCAGTACATTCACCAGTTTCATTTCCTTCTCCTTCCATTTCTGTCTCCGCAATTACGTGGTCCACATGGGAAAATAAGAGAGCCAGGACAACTAACAGATGTAATCCCATTGAAAAGGTGGGTGAAAGACTTAATCGCAGCATGTTGTACACGACACTTCCAACTGTCACAACCTACTGGTAAAAATAAGATGGGGAGAGGGTGGAAAGAAAGTTATGTCATTAGAGCTGCATCCAAAGCATTAGTAATTACTTATTTTTATTACTCTTACCAAAATTGGTTTATATTTCACCGTCAAAAATCTATAGTGAGTAATTGCTTTAAGACTCCATCAGTGACTAAGCAATCCTTTGTAAAGTTTACAGCTCAATCTTCCTGTGAATTTACTGCATGTAGTTCCCATTCACTGAGCAGGATACATTGAGTTATTGGAAAGGAAAAGTTGAATTAATACAGCCTTGCCTTATTAAACACACATTTATGTATGCTAATAGCCAAAAAACACAGGACTTTTAAAGCATTAAATAATTTCCTCCTCTTTACGAAAGCAAATTTTCTTCTAAATATTTGTTAGTATATCATCTTCCAGAAATGGTTTCCTTGCCAAAAGCACCTTATTAGGATTGATGCTTTGAAAATCAGACTGAAAAAAATCCCACCAACGCAAGGCCTGGTGATTATCTTAAACACCAGAAAGCATCTTACACAGTATTTCATGAAATTGTGCCCTCTTGCTCCACACTTACATGGAAACAGAAAACTTCAAGCTTGCCTGAAATCAAACCTCAATGGCATTTTTTCTTGAGGTGAAAAAAATTCTATTGTAACATTTCTACACATTAAGTACAGTTTTTAAAAGCATGTTTTGATGAGAGCACATTTCCTCTTAGTTGTCAGCCAGCCCAGGTTTCCTGATACATTAGCAGCTGCGCATCTGGTTCTTGAAGCACAGCTGTTCACATCTGGGTACAGAGCCTGCTTTTCTGCAGGCTGGAAAGGGAGATAACCAGGCCAAGGCCTCGTTGTGGGTAAGAGTGTGGCAGGCTGTGGAATCAGTATCACCAACCTTAAAATGTTCCTTCTCAGTGTTGATGTCATATTTTCCATGGTCATTCTAAAACACATATTAGTTCTGCAGAGGGTTCAAGTGACCAAAAAATGTAGGACCAATAATTCCATTTAAATTAGCTCATGTGGCATGACAACAGTGACCACAAAACATACATAAGATGAAAGGCTGTAGGCAATGAGGGCCATGGCAACAGAGTCAGTGAGTAGCACACAAAGCTTGGTAGGCATAGCGGCAGACTCAGCCACCATGGCCCTAAGGTCACCCACCAGCTCAAGCAAAACTCTACTCAGACCTTACATCCCCTCTGCTTCCAGAACCTGGGACAGGGGTGAGGGGAAACTGAAGTAGAGGAAGGTCTGCTCCAAGTCAGGGTAACTCTCTTCCAGGTCTTGCAGGAGGGACCAGTTACGACATCAGATAAAGCAGCAGTAGGAAGAATCCCTGAGTCAGAACATACCCTTATGGCCTGGAAAAAGTTAAAAGAGGAGCTGGATTAGAGGCTTTCATAGCATCAGGCTGGCTGAGAGCCACTCCACGTTCGCCTACACTCTCTGGCTCATGTTTGCTGCTAAAGGCTTATACTGAAAACTGCACCAGGGCCCAAGAGAACACCCTGCCTAGCACATTCTGGCAGACCCTCAGAGATCCCACCATACCCTAAAGCCCTTTATAGCTCATCACTACAGGGAGATAAGCTTCTTTGAGATTTTTCCCATACTAAAGAAACCAGTGATGGGTTATAGCAGTAGAATTTGAAACTAAGTAAAGGGCTGAAAAATAGAAGCAGCATATTTTAAAATATGCAAAAGTTCATTGTCAGTATGTCTGCTTGTTCAGTCTTTGAAAGCCTTTGGAATTTCTGCTTGAAACAAGGCAAGATTTAACCATCCTGCAAGAATGGTGAAAAGTCTAGTTGCAACTCTTTTGTGCATCGATATCATCCATAAATATTTATGCATGCTTCATGTATATTTCAGAAAGACTTGCTAGGCTATCGTCTAGATCCTGAGAATTCACCAGTGAATGAAACAGAGTATCTGTCCTCACAGAGTTTATATTCTAATGTAGAGGAAACAAACAAATATAAATATCAGAAGGTTAAAAAGTCCTACAGTACATGTGTATGCAGAGCAATCTAAAGAGGACAAGGAGTGTGTGTGTGTGTGTGTGTGTGTCAGTGTGTATACATATGGCATGCGTGATTTTATACTAGATGGTTAAGAAAGGCGTCTCTGATAAGGTAACACTTGAGCAAAGTCCTGAAGGACACAAAAGGTCAACTCTTGCTTATATCTGTAGGAAGAGAATTCCTACCAAGTGCAAACATCCTGATGGGAATCATACTTGGCACAGTCTAGAACCACAGAAAACCAATGTAGTAAGAGGACAATGTACCAAGGGGCAGGGCTCAGGAGTGGGAATGGATCGTGGAACACTGAGTCGCCATAAGTCATGGGCTTTGGTGGGGTAGAAGATGAGAATCACTGGGTGGTTCTAATCAGAGGGTGATATGATCTGATTTTTCTTTTACAAGGATCTCCCTGCTGGTTCAGTGTAAAATAGACTAAAGGGGCGAGGTTGGAAACAGACCAGCTTTTGCCTACTATATAAAATCTAATTTATAAGTGATCCCAATACTTGGCAGGTATACAAAATGATACAGAAGGTATCTAACATTTAAAATGGTGAAAGAAACATTTGTAGTGATCCTTTTGGAAGATTTGCAACTTAAAATGTCTTGGGAACCTGGAAGAATCAGAAAGGTGAAATATTTGTAATAAAAAGTAGTACTGAACATAGAGCATGAGCACTGAAGAGAGATTCAAACCTGTGTCTGTCTCCAAGACTGATATAATTAACCACTCCCTTCAAATTACTGCCAAATCACATCATTTCATTCTTCACATTTCAGCCAAAATGAAATTCCTAAAGTGCATATCTGACACTCTTTACTTCCCTTAAAAATTTTCATTGGTGGCCTGCTTCCTTGAGGCCAAAGCCCAAACCCTTCAACAGGCTGCGTAAGACCTTTTATGATCTGGCCTCTGAGCTCCAGAATATGGAAATTATTCCCATTCCCTGAACAAGACAACACTTTCTTACATCTAGGTCTCTGAAGATATTCTGTGTTCAAAACTATTTTGCTTTTTCCTTCTTAGAAGCAAATTTCAAAAGAGCTGAACACCAAATTATAACCAGTTTCCTGAGAGAATACTAGATTTCACTCTTAAACATAGACAGGATGCTAAACTCTCTATATGTATCGATTATATTTAATATTTACATTAACCAGCATTGCTATGTTACAAAACTCCTGGCGTTGCTATTTCCATTACAGTCCATGAGAACAGAACCTTTGGAGTTGTGCAATGCACAGTGCCCTAATAATAATCCTAAATAGGAGGTATTATTAGCCCATTTGAAGGTTGGATAACTGAGGCTTAGATTGGTTGAGTACTTGCTGAAAGTCATACGGACAGTAAACCCCTCAACTAAGACTCAACCCCTGGTCTTCTTCAAAGACTAATATAATTAACTGCTCCATTATATCATCCCTGATAGTGTGTGAATCAATCTTTGAGAACTATTAGGGCTGGCTTGGACTAGCCCATTGGAAACCTTCTTGGCTTCCGTGTGTGGTTAGGTGGGTCTAGTTAGCAAAAGTCTTACGGAAGGTTTCCAGTAGCCTGGCTTTTATCTTACGGATTAGACTCAAACAGACAAGCATCAATGACTGTGATGTAACATGAGGGCTAACATGTTCCTAGAGACAGGTGCCCTTCAGTCTGGTCTTTTAGCAATTGCCTGGCAACCTCTTCCTGCATGCACAGTCAGGGCAATCTCCTAGGCCAGCCAAGAAAAAGCCCTGCCCTTTACCCCTTTCCTAGCCCACATCCCACAATATGCTCTTAGCCAAAAAGGCACCAGATGTCTCAAGGTGGATAGATCAGTAAAAATCCATTATCATTATCAGAGAAAAAGGAAGGGAGCTTCTGGTATTAACTAAAAACATCACAAGTATATTCAAGAGAGCAGCATTATAATTTGTGAAACCAGTGGACACTTACTGGCAATGAAGCACCGGAAAAGAACTCGCTAGACTTGAGTTTTTATTAAATTAATACCAAATCCAAATGCTCATGAAGATATGGAATAGGTGCTACCTAACTGTGAGTTCCTTCTTCATCCTTTTGTCTCCTTTCTTTCAGAGTCTTTCCTGTAACATCAGATTCAACGTAGTTCTACTTAACTCTCCCTATTTTCCTTCAAATATACATCTCCATACAAATTAAGCAGAAAGATAAGAATAGAGGCTGTGGATATGCTGATTTGCTGCCTGGCTTTCTTATATTCTGCCTTAATTTACCAATATAAAATATAGGCTGATTTTTATGGGGAATTCAGATAAACTCGCACAACTATGGCCAGTACTCGCTTAGGAATATCCATTACATTATCCAAATGAGACTTTAGCACAGTATCAAGAATACCCAATGTATCTTCCGATCACTATTTTAAAACAAAACACAAAGCTTCATCACCTATAGATCACAAACCTACATGGCACTGACAAAGGTTGGTAAAAAGATATCCAGCTGTGAATAGGCCAGCCAGTTGTGTTGGAGGGAGAGGTCACAAGCTATAAGGAATAGAAACCCATGTCTGCAAAAGATAGGTCATTATCAAACTGCTTTTGTAAAGGATGAGGAAGAGCTTTTGGAGCAAAGACGCCTGAAGAGTGGTTATGCAGCATAGTGACCATTCCCTGCCGGAAGCTGTAGACAGTTTTGTCTACCAAGGAGGACCTGACTCAGAGAAAAGACAGGCTGGCATTCCTACCAGCCCAATATACTAGACAGTCAGCCTAATGGCATCCTCTTGATTGGCAGCTGGGGCTATTCCAAGGAACTCCTTGATGGCCTTCATTAGGACTTGGAATTCCCTTCTATGTAATTCTTGCTGACTGAAAGCCTCAAAGCTAAGCAATTAATCTGTTTCTAAGGCAACGTTAAAGCAACCATAAATCCTATCCACTACCAAGGCAAGCACTTTCAAAGGCTTCTAGACAAAGAGATGATGCCAGAGGATGAAGGCTCTTCT